GTTATTATAGCGTGCTCGATCCGAGCGGAGAAAGGTGCACGCGCGTGAAAGCCGCCCTAATGCTACTGTGAATAATTCGAAATTGGATTATCCTTGTCGATCTGGGAATTCGGACTCGATTCTCAATACGAAGGAACGAATACTACTAGCCTCGGGTCTCGATTCTCGATGCGTAAGATAGAATAATAACTGATACATTTTAGAAATGCGACCGGGGAGATTTATAATCCTGACTTTTACATTGTTTTCATTCGGATCTGATCGATCTATCGGCGAACAGAATTTATGTACAAGAATGAAAAACCGTTTAAAGAATTCCGTATAGATGTATTTCCCGCCCTCTTGTGCCTGTGTTCGCGACAGGAACCGTTCTCGCGTGAGGTATCGAAGGTATCCGCGGTTTCGAAGGTCGACAGACCAGTCGCGAATCATTATCAACGGTAAAGAAGATCGTTCGCCAACGAGAAACTCGTGGCACAGATCAAGTATACATTTAGAGGTAAAAGCAATAGTTTAAATTTGCAAACGAACTTCTTTCGTTTGAAGGCAATATAAAATTCGCGTTTTGCATCGCGAAGTAGAAAAATATTAATATCAAACGTTAAATTAACATAGTACACATGATAGCAAATATGTTAAAATAATGATAATAGTGGTAACTGATTTTATGCTTTGTGATACGTAATGAAATACGCAAAGGAGGTAATTAGAATTGTGAGTATCAACTGGAGTGCGAAGACAGAAGAGACGGAATGCCCGCCGACAAAGAGGGAACCTTAAAAAGCATACTTTCTCTTTCTAGTCTGTAATGCATACCTTTGATGCTGTTCTAAACTTGGACCGAGTAAACGAGAAACAATGAACGTAATCATTATCTATCAGAACATGATTGCGTATCGATAATATTCTAAATTGTATAAATTAAATTAAACGTCTCTGTCTCATAGGCAAATTTACTAAAAGATAACACAAATAGACATAGAGAATATAAAAAGGAAGATAGTATGCCGTAATAGCGATCTTGCTTCTTTACTCATCTTTCTTATAGCTTTTAACAGCTGTTCGCACTCCAGGTGTTTTATAAATGGTATCATTACAGCGAACTATTGCTACTCCTGGATATTTATTTATTTATTTAAATATCCAGGTTTATTATGCTTGCTAGTTAATAAACAATAGAACCAGTCACTCTTACCGTTTCAGACCATTTATCTTACAGCATGTTCGAGTGACCGATCGAAGGAATTTGAAAGCATATGACTCACCGAAGGTCCCCTGGACGTCGCGTCGTCGATGTCGTATCATCTAGGGGACGCCACCGGACGGGGAGGAAGCATTGCACTCGTAGCTCGTTCAAAGGATCTTGATACAAACACGACACGATTATTCCCAGCCAATTAACGAGCTGTGAAGAAATGCAAAAGATACGATTACATCGATGCTTCGTAAAAGCTAACCTTAGTGTCGCTCTCCTCGATACAAATCTAAAGTCGAAAACGAATTGGTTTGATGCGACAATTCGCGAACAAACGAACGAACAGAAGGAAAGACAGATTTTTACTCAACTGTCGTCGTTGGCCAGTGAGAGGTTTACGTCGAATTCGCAGCAAGTCCCCTCGATCGTTTATTCTCACGGATTCTTGATATTCCAACTGCACCAAATTCTGCAACTTCGAATTGCATTAACAAGCAAAATTAAAACGTACAAACACGGAGGGACGTCATGGCGCTACGATCGTTCGAACGCGAAGTACCGCCAAATTGGGCGCCACCTATCGACGTTGCCTCGATATAGCTTTAATTTATGCTCGACGAATTTTATCACAAGAAAGTCACACGAAAACTTTGAATTTTTCAGCTGCGAACACTAATTCTAAGATATCAAAGACTTTTCATATGATACACGTACACTTATGTACGCAACGACATGATCATAGTAGCTATTAGCTACAGACGCAAAGACGTATGATCTTTGATTACGACTTTCCACGAAAATATCGAACGATTTATAACAGGATTGTTAAATTCGGTTCTCTCTATACCTATTCGATCATTTTTCAATAGTTGGGGACAGCAACAGTTGCATAACTATTACAAAAAATGTAATTATAGAAAGAGATGAAAGCGACGTGCACTTATCTTGAAAATCCAGCAGGGAAAGAACGCTACTGCGCAGGCACTTCAGTCGCGCGAATCGACTGACGCGATTGGTCGACGGTTTGGCACGAAACACATTCTTCTGTTTCGAATTTCAAATGCATTAATGTATTGTAAAAATGAATAATTCTGACTAATAAATTAATAGAATCGAATGTTGGCATTTTTATTTCGCAATCCTTGACTGAATGACCAATTCTTTATTTGGTATCGTTTCCGAGACTTTAACGAAAAGTAAAATTATGAGAACATAAGTACACTCACCGCCCACACTGTCGTAATTTTGATGGCACACTTCTTTCGTCGGTCTAAAATAATGTTATCGAATCCAGATTAAACAGGAGAACAGAAAATACGGAAGCGAGCAAGCGTTCCCTTTCCTTGTCGGACAGTTTAGCGGTCTCTGTCCAGGATGATTCGTTTACCTTCACCGTTGTCCTACATGCCTGTTGATCAATCGCGATTCCGATTAAGAGAATAGATAGATTAGAGAGAACTGGCCTGAACCGTGTCAGCGAATTTACAGGATACTCAGGAATCGAATAATTACGTTCGTCATCGGTAAATAATTGCCGGGAGAATATTATATAACCTTTTATTTGTTGGCAAAGAAAAAAGAATCTTGCGAGCATCGGACAACGACTCGTTCGCGGAAGCCTTGACCATTCACTTTGCCATCATCCTGTTAGAAAACATCGCGGTTCATAGTATACCTACAATACGTTACGCGGCTGTAATTCCCCGGTTCCTGTACAATGATGGCTCATTAATTATTCGAAATAACGACGAAACAAACGGGGACGGACAATTTATCACGACAAGATGGATCTTTTTATTTAAGATAAGTGTACCGTGGAGAATAAAGAAATAGAGATGAGATCTCTGAATCGTTGTGCCAACTATTGTATCCACAAAAATTAATTGCATCCTTCGACCCTCAAGTTTTATTGTTTCGTTTAAGGATGTATTGGCTATACAATCAATCCTAAAAGTTTATGTACTTCAGAAAAACACATTTCCTATAATTAAAAAGAAATCAGACGTCGGAAGAACAATGCTAATGATAAATAGCTACGTGCTAAAAAGTATAGAAGGAAATATTCAATTAATTATTGACGCTGGCGGAAAGCTTTCTATACAGAAATTTTAGGCACTGACATTCTCTACAAGAAAAGTTTTATGCATTTTTCTTCCAAGTCCAGTATTTAACGAGTTACGTATGATTATTTGGCATTTTATTGATGTTGACAAAATCCGACCATCCCAGCGTCGAAACAGCCAACTTTTGACAAAAAATTTCGTTTTCCCTCAATTACTCCTAAACCGTTTGAGATACGGAAAAATTGCATAAGACCTTTTTTGTAGAGGACGACGAGATCTATAA